TTTGTTTATGTTTTTTTATATTTCTCTTATTTTCTTTTGAATCTTAACAACAACTGTTATGAAATATTGTTTTAATGTTATTTGTTAAAAACAATCATTGAAATAATGTGCACAAAAAAGACCACAAATTCAATCCAGCTTTTATTTTCAAGCTAGTCCATTGTGCTCTTCATTGTTCTTTTTTCACTTTTTGAACATTTTTTGAGCTTCTTTTTGTTAAAAGAAATTACTTTTCAAAACGAATTATGTAAAAAACAAAAGCTATATTTTAAGTTTGTTTTAATTAAAATAAAAAACCATTTCAAATATTTTTTCTTTTCAAGCAAAATTTACTTTTTTCTCAAAAAACAAAGAAAAGACCCAATCAAATTCATTTTCCTATTTATAAAGGGTGGTACTTAAGTTTTTTATATTTTGGCTCAAAGTTCAACCAAAGTTTCACAATTTTTACTCACTTAAGTGGTTTATTCCACTACTGTAATAAAAAAATAAAATGTTTTTATTATTTATATAAACAATATTAATTATTGTGTTTTTGCGTATTTTTTCTTTTTGAAATAAACCTTAAATAGATAATTTAATAATTTAATTTATATTTAATTAAACTGTTTTTTAAATGTTTTTTTATTATTAAAAAGTTTGTTTATAACCAAATTGAATTTGTTTTTACACAACTTTTTTGTGTGTTTTAAGTTTATTTTATTGACTTTAAAACTATATAATATAATTTGAAATAAGCATATAAATTAGGTTTTGTATTTATATCATACGATTTTGAGTTTTTATTTTATTTTTAATTTTATTTTGTTTTTATTCAACATTAAATAGATAATAAATTATTTTTAATGCATATGTGGTTATTATGTTAAAATATATAAATTTTATTATTTTTTATAATTATAATAGTTTATTATATCGGTTGTGGTATATCAAAGTTGTTTATAATATTCTCAAAATGTTTTTATCAAATAAATATTATCAATATAAAATAACATTTTTGAATTTAACTTTGGCAAAAAGTGGTATTAAAGCGATTTTGAGGTTTTAATATAAAATTGAACTTTTAAATTCAATTATATATTTACTGATGTTATAAATATTAATTCAGGAATTTTTATCTCATTATACTCCTAATAATTAAAGGTTTATTTATTTTACATAAGTATATAATTAAAATAATAATAATAATTTTATAGTAGTTTTGTATTAACAAAAATAAACTATATTTAAATGATTGAGAAGTTGTTTTGAATAGTTATTTAAAATAAAGCTTAAGGTTTATTTTTATAAATTTTATTTATTCATAGGCAAAACAAGGAAAAATGATTTTGATGTTTTGATCTTTAATTTATTTAACAGTTTTAAGAAGGCTTGAAAGAACCAAAAAAATCAAATCATCAACAGTTTTTTTTAATTACTTTGGGAAACTCTGCTAAGACTTTAGTATGGTTCAAAATGTCTACCATTGTATTGTGGTGTATAAAATTCTTAAAATTCTCCAAAGAATACATCAAAAAGAATTGCACAAAAAGAATACTGTTTTTAATATGAAAAAATCGAATGTCCACTTCTTTTCACTCCAAAAAGGCACGATTGTAGTGAATAGAAAAATCATCGAATTTAACTCAGAGAAGTGTGAAATTCCAGTTTTAGTTGAAAATAGAGAACTTTTATGTATTGGAAATGTTTCAAATAAGACAACAAAAATTCAAATATCATCAAAACTTGGGGGAAATGCTTATTTTTTAAGAACAGAACCTGAAATTATTACATTAAAGAAAAATTTTGCTTGTGAATTTTCAGTGTATTTGACACCATTGTACAGTACTACCATTTCAAGCGATGTGATGATAATCTCAAAAAGTCTTTCGAATAACAAACAAAGTACTTACGATTTTATAATTAACGCAAAAACTGAAATGAATTCGAGACTCGATCCTACCGAAATTTCAATTGACAAGAAAATAGGTGAAGGATCTTTTGGGTTAGTTTATCAAGGTACTTTCAGAAACAATTTAGTTGCAATTAAACAAATGAAAGAAAGTATCAATGAAGCTGAAAAAATGAAAGATTTTGAAAGGGAGGTTTGTATGTTAGACAAATTTCGGAGTAAGATTATTGTCCACTTCTATGGAGCTGTATTCATCCCAAGTAAAAACTGTATGGTCACTGAATTTGCTCAATTCAGTAGTTTAAATGATTTGATGATTAAAATGAAGTGGCACCAAATAACAGAGAAATTAAAAATCAAATTTATAATAGACGCAGCAAAAGGACTGTCGTATTTACACACTAATGGAATATTACAAAGAGATATTAAACCAGATAACATTTTAATAGTGTCAGTCGAAAGGAACGATCAGGTAAACGCCAAATTGACTGATTTTGGAGCATCAAGAAATATCAACATGTTGATGACTAACATGACTTTCACAAAAGAAGTTGGTACACCTAACTTCATGGCTCCTGAAGTTTTAAAAGGAGAGAAATACACAACGAGTGCGGATGTATATTCATTTGCAATAACAATCTATGAATGCTTTGGGTGGTGCGAAGCATATTCAAAAGATGCATTCAAATTTCCATGGAAAATAGCCGAGTTTGTGACAGCTAGAAAACGCCTTGAAAAAAGAAAAAATATTATAGAAGAACTTACCCGACTAATGGAACAGTGTTGGCTACAAAACTCAGATGAGAGGATTAAGATAAATCATGTTGTTGACGAACTTCAACTTATTCGTTCGACTCGATGAACAAAGCTTGTTTTTAAAATTTTGTTGATATATTTTAAAATAACACAAATAGTATATTTATAAAAATAACAATATTGATTAAAAACGTTTAGAGTAATTATTATTGTTTATAATAACATAAATACTAATCATATTGTTTATATGTATCATAAAATAAAAATAGTTATATTGCTTTATATTGTTATATTAATTTTTATCAAAATTGTAAAGAAAAAAATATTTTTTAAGCTTATAACCATATTATAATTATAACTTTGAAATCTGTTGGTAGAAAAACCAAGTTAAAATCAAATTGGATAAACAAATTTCAAAATTTTGAATGTTAAAGCATTTAACCACATATTAATTATATTACAATAAACACGATTATATCAATTGGGTCATTTACAAAAAGAAAAAATCAAAAAGTGTTTACAGACAAATTAACTGGTTTGAGTTTTACCAAACCAAAACCATCAATAAAACAAATAAAACCAATAAGTAAAAAAAATTACTGATAAAAAAGTGAAACAATTTAATTTCAGTCACTAGGGAATAATTTACATATTTAATTTAGTTGTTCAATTTTTTAAATGTAAAGTCTGTCTAAAAACGTTGTCCGCTTGTAAAACGTTGTCCATTTGACAAAAAATTACACAAAATATGTTGAAAAATTTAGGAATTAGGTAAAAACGATCAAATCCCGGTAAAAATTATGAAACGATGTTTTGGGATTGTTTCGAATTGTTTCCCGAAATATTCCAGTTTTGATGGTCCAAAAATGCCTGGACAACGTTGGAGAGCGGACAACGTTTTCAGACTGACTATAGATTTATTTAAGTAGTTATTTTATTTAAAGATTTATCCAAACAATTAATTAACATTAATATTGTATCACTTTATCTTTTATAATTAAATGAATATATCAAAATAAAAAAATACTATTCATAATATAAATTTTTGATTATAATATTTTTTGATGATTAAAATAAATCAATAATTCCCATAGTGTTGATTTTTGATGTTTTTTCTTTAATTCCTCTTTGTCATAATTCAGAATATAAAAATGGTAATAAAGAAGTTGCAATTGAAATTAAATTACTTAATAATTAAAAATATAAGTATTAATAAAGTTATTAGGAATTATTGCCAATTTAATTATTGTATATAATTGGTAATTAAAACAATCAAATTTAAATGAAGTGCTATTAATTTTAGTTATTATGACTGAATCGTACCAACACCAAAATTACATTCCTCATAATGAAATGTATATACAACCACAAGTTCCCCCATATCAAGAATTACAGTTAAATTTATTACCCCAACACAATGAAGAAAGTGTCATTTTGAATCAAAATCGTACAACAGAAAAAAGTCAACCACAATTAAATAATGAGTATCCAGTTTTTGTTGATTATAACAAAGAGAGAAATGTATTATGTATTGAAACAATATTAATGTGTGTCGGATTTTTTGTACCATGTCTATTATGTGTAGTATTGTGCTTAATTTTTTTTCAAAGTAATCAAAAAAACAAAACAAGAAAAGTTTTTGTTTTAACATTAGTTATATTGTGCCAATCAACCATAATAATTGTTGTTATTGCAATCTTTATATTTATAAACACGACAAATATTTCGAAGAAAATTTAAGAATTCTTACTAAACAACTTTGAAATGTGTTTGTTTTTGAAATCAAATTTACAACAATATAAATTTTTAATTATTTAATTTAATTTCAAAACCAATTTGTGTGTTTTTATAATCTTTTTTGTTCATTTTTTTTGAAAATGTCAAATAACATTAACATTACTGTTAAATATGAAAACATAAAAAATCAAATAATATGTTATAAATATATACAATAATTATTTTTTAATTTCACCCAAATTATTTTCATACCTTTTTAATATTTTGAATAGATCGAACAACATTGTTAACCAAAATACTTTTTATAGTGAAAAATTGCAAGAGTGGTAGGGTATTTTTTAATTTTTGTTCTTTCAAGAGCCTATCAAACCATAATGACCACTCTATAAAAATCTATTTTTAGTTTTTTTGAAAAAATGCCCGCTTTTGAAAGGACCTGCTTTTCGGAAATACCGCTCTTGGTAGGTTTTACTGTATTTCTTATCTTTAATTGTAAATTATCATTATTTAAATCAGGGTCAGCCAAACTATCATGTTTTTAAAAAAAAATCTTAAAAAACAAAAAAATGGCAAATAACATTGATTTTTTTAATTAATTAATTATATCAGACAAAACACAATTATTCTTTACCAAAAATGAAAAAAAGAAACGATAATTTATATTAGAAGTAATTTAAGGTTATTTTGAATTTATAAAAAAGAATTCATTTTGGATTTTTTATTATATTATTATATAAAGATAAAATCTTTAAAAAAATAAAACAAATGCCCGTTAAAGTAGATCGATACAAGAAAAGTTGGCGGATAAAATAGATACTAAAACATTTTATTGCATCATTTGTGGTAAAATTATGAGCTGTAATGGTTTAAATTTACATACTTTACAACACAAAACAATATTTGATAATATTGAACTTAAAGAATGTTCGATAAAAACATATTTTAATGGAAAACGATTTTCAAATAATTGTGAAGGTAAAGGAATTGATTCTTATGTTTTCGAAAATTAATTAGAAAATGAATATAACACAAGAAATAAATTAAAAAAATAAACATGGCTATCGCTCAAATAATTTCTGAAAATGATTTATTTTGTAAAACAGATGTAATTAAAATTATAATACAAAAAATTATTCAAGTTGCTAAAGAATTTGGAATTAACACAATAAATAAACAAAGTCTTTCAAGAACATCAATGAGGCGATTCTCAGAAACTGTATTTGAAAAAGAAGAAGAGAAAAAGTTATACATAATACAAGAATCTAAATATGTTTCAATCCAGACTGATGAGTCAAAGATACACTCACATTCTCAATACAATTTTTGTTGTCGTACAATTAACCAAGAAAATATAATACATAATTTTATATTAGAAATGTCAACACTAAAAGCCAAATCAACAGGATAAGAAATATTTAATAAATTAAAAGTTATAATAGATAAATACAAAATAAGCAAAAGCAAATTTATTTCAATAACCACAAATGGGGGTGCCAACTTAAATGGCAAAAATAGTGGTGCCGCGACATTATTTTGTGAATATATCAACATGGTTCCAAAACAATTACAATGTGATAAAAATTGGTGTTATTATCACAAAATAAATTTGATATTTAAATTTCTTGAATCAATAACCACTGTCAGCAAATTTGTTAATTTTTTAGAACAATTTGTAAATTTTTAATAGAAGATTCAATTAAGAGCAAAACACACAATTCGGCAGTACCAACTGATTGTTGTACACAATGGTTAAGTGTTGGAAAAATAATTGTATTTGTTTACAATAATTGGAGTGATATTGAATTAAGATTGTTGGAAATGTGTGTTGAATATACTGTTATTGATGATGTTGATATATTAGAATGTATATTGTTTTTTTTCAAAATAAAAATAACTATTTTATAACTTCTTTTTTAATTGATACAATTGTTAAATTGAACAATTTAAACAAAAATTTACAAATTGAAAATGGGTTAATTGTAAAAGAAACTGGAAAAATTGTTAATTTTACAACAATAACAATGACAAAATCAACAAATTAAATAACAACGATTTTTCTGAATTTGAAATATAAATGGTTGTAATGTGGTTATTTGTTCGGCACAAAAAGAGTTGTTTTTGGAAATATTTGAAAAAATTAAAAAATGTATTGAGTTGAGATTTAACTGTGTTAAATTTAATGGTTTTGAAAGTACAAGTAATTTGGTTTACTCAAATTTGGAAATTTATACATTGTTTGCCTTATATTTTGGCAAAATAATAAAAAACAAACAAACTGTTATACCTTTACAACTCAAATATTTGTTGGAAGAAATTGTTCAACTTAGAACCGTTTTCAATGATGAAATAAAGTTCGTGTTAGTTAAAAACATAGATGTAAATTGTTTTGATATTTACTCTTATGTTGATATAATTAAAATATATCCAAAATTGTGGAATCTTTATTTGTATATCTCTGCTGTATTTCCAACAAGTACAATGAGTGAATCTGATTTTTCTATAGAAAAAAATACCTGGTAAACAAACATTTCATTCTCTTCATTCAACGCTAGAGTCGTGCTTAAAAAGAACAAATAAATATTGTAATCAAAAAACATTTTTTAATTAAATAATTTTTGAATGTTGTTTAAATTGTTAACTATCATTTTATTGATTTAAAAAAACATTTTTACATCAAAATTTTTTATTTGTATTTTTATTTACAATTTGCTAAAACCAAATAAATAATGACACGTATTTGAGATTGTCACAAAGTTGTTTAAAAACTGGATCTTGGCCGACCCTGATCAAAATGTATTTCATTTGTAAGTTGGGGTTGATATACTTGAATTGTTTGGATTGGGATTTGATCTTTATTAAACAAGAGGAATTGCAATACAAAATGACAATGTTTTTAAAACTATGTATTGTTTCCAAAATTTAGAAAATACCATTTGTTTAAATTTTACATCATTTATTATTTTTTTATCTGTTTTATAAGCTAATAAAAGTCAATTGCAAATTTCTTTAAGGTAACAAAAAAAATAAAATTACAACTTTTCAACTATTATAAAAATATTTGTAAAAATGTGGTTACAAGTAATAACTACAAAAATACAGATCAAATTAATCATCAATTTTAAACAAACCAAGCTAAAATGTAAAGAATTACAGTAAACAGAAAAAGTGTTAAACTGCACTATTTATATACTACTTCTAGTGATTTAACAATTGTTTTTTATTTCGTCATATTTACTCATCAAGTCTTTTAGTTTTTTATCTTTTCTGAATATAATATTTTTGTAAATAAAAGAAAGTAAAAACAATAGAGTTAAATAATTACCAGATGTAATATAATTAGGTTTGATTTTTTTAGTTTTAGAGTTGTTC